CGAGCTGATGTCTTTTTAAGTTGCCATTCTCAGTGAAAGTCTTTCCACACTGATCACAGCTGAATGGTTTTAATCCAGTGTGGATAAGCTGGTGTTTTTTTAACTTGCTATTATGTGTGAAAGCCTGTCCACACTGATCACAGCTAAATGGTTTAATGCCAGTGTGGACGAGCTGATGTCTTTTTAAGCTGCCATTGTGATTGAAACACTTTCCACACTGATCACAACTAAATGCTTTTAATCCAGTGTGGACAAGGCGATGCTTTTTTAAGCTGCTAACATAATTGAAACACTTTCCACACTGATCACAGCTGAATGGTTTAACTCTAATGTGGATGAGCTGATGTTGTTTTAAGCTGCCTTTTTGATTGAAACACCTTCCACATTGATCACAGGTGAATGGTTTAACTCCAGTGTGGATGAGTTGATGTTGTTTTAAGCTGCCATTGTGATTGAAATGTCTTCCACATTGATCACAGCTGAATGGTTTAATGCCAGTGTGGATGAGCTTATGTTGTTTTAAGCTGCTATTACGAGTAAAAGCCTTTCCACACTGATCACACATGAAGCTTCTGTCTCCACTGTCAATGCGCTGGCGTCTTCTGGCCTTCTTCATAGTGATGAAAGTCTTGTCCACAGGGATTACAACTCGTTCATCTTTACTTGCTGGCATTGGTTGGTCAAAAATTTGGAGAGGTTTCAGCACGCTTCCCCTTCTTTTGCCTATGACAAAGATGACAAAGAACTAAAACAGTGAAATGCACTAATGGAATAATAAAACCTATAAAGTGTACATATTAGAGCTGGGTGATAGATTTTTTTCATATCACAATATGGTTTGTTTTTTTCATTTCCGGCGATAACGATAACGATAACGGCGCAAATTGATGACTGACAGTTTTCCTTGGTGAGTTTTTTACTGCAATGTGTTTGGGATTATTGTTGTACTCAAAAATGAATTTGTTGTTAACCAGACACTTTTCAAATAGCTTTGTGTTGTTGAGCAAAATCTGCTGATACTTTTCTGTATTCTTAACTCCTTCACTTTTGACCACACACGTGGTGCCAAACCATAATAGAGATGTCAGTATTTTTGCAAATAGCCATAGGTACCACT